GCCTGCAGTTTTTTACCCTTCTTATTCAAATTTGGATGCAAATTAACTACTGATCACAGAGACCTCTGCACAAAAGGTAATTCATTCACTGGACACATGTATATTGATAATATACTAGTCTGGACTTGCCTTCCCAAGCATTGAATCTAAGTCTGCTGCGTTTGCAGTCAAAGGAGCATATTCATCAGCTTGAATTATATTAGTTACATCAAAGTCAGCATCTGGTGTTTGTATCATCTTTGAGAGCCCATCGACAGCAGTTTTAAGTTCATACAAGCGTTTTAAGATCTCTTCTTGGCGGGATTCAAGTGCTAGAAGTGATGCGTCAACCTCTTCCTAGAGGGAAAGAATTAGATTAAATTTATTTTCACTCATACCCAATACATCAATACAATTATTGTATATCATTGAATGAACTGTGCATAAAACTCTATAGGAATTTATTTGACACTAGTCACATCACACCTTTCATTTTAAAACACTATGAAATTTTTTTAAAAGTATCCTAAAGGAAATTCTTAAGCTTATTAGTAACCCATGTCACTTCCACTGACTTTACGTGAACAGATGACTGCAAAATGATGGATTGTAAATATGCCCCTTATTTAAATGGTTTACTGAAATCCTATTGGTTAAAATATCTTAAGTCGTTTATTAAACAATTTTTGATCCACGTGTTACACCTCCATCTACAGAACAGTGATTCTAAGACCTAATCATAGGATAAAAGGGAAGGTCCTTTCATGGATTGAGAACTGGTTAAAAGACCGGGAACAAAGGGTAGGAATTAATGGTAAATTCTCAGAATGGAGAGGGGTAACTAGTGGTGTTCCCCAAGGGTCAGTCCTCGGACTGTGATGAACTTCAAAAAGATCTCACAAAACTAAACGATTGGGCAACAAAATGGCAAATGAAATTTAATGTGGATAAATGTAAAGTAATGCACATTGGAAAAAATAACCCCAACTATACATACAATATGATGGGGGCTAATTTAGCTACAACAAGTCAGGAAAAAGATCTTGGAGTCATCGTGGATAGTTCTCTGAAGATGTCTGCGCAGTATGCAGAGGTGGTCAAAAAAGCAAACAGGATGTTAGGGATCATTAAAAAGGGGATAAAGAATAAGACTGAGAATATATTATTGCCCTTATATA